TCTTTAATTCTACTATCTACCCTAACCTATTTCCGTAACAGCAATATTCTGACTAAAACACTATCCAAGATAATGCTCAAATGTTCCTGTGCAAAATCAAGCTCACAAAGCCTCTACAATTTAAAAAAATCTGACACTTCAAGAGTCAAAAAAGGACTGAGGAGCGTGGACACTAATAAGCACATGCAGCTACACACCCTGGATCACATATCTAATTATTTCAAATCAACAGGATGAATTAGTCCTTGTGAGTAAAACAACGAAAAGCACCTTAAGGGAAGCATCCTGCAGTCCCAGAGGCATTTCTATTACAGCTCATCAGTGCAGCGCACCTTCTACTATTTAGTTGCTCTCAAGTGTTATTCACATTATACCTGCAGGACTGGAATTAATGTTTTATGAATCTATGGTTAAACTTGGACGTTGAAAAGCATATCTGATAATTTGCATTAACAACAGTTTTTCGCAGCATTTTACAGTTAGGAACTTTATTTTTAAAAACATTCTCTCTGTGTAATTGCATGCTTGAAATGCTTCCCGAGGAGCTGATATCGAGAGTTTCTGCTTTTACTTTGATGTTGAAAAATTGTCCCCTGTGAATCAGTGTCCTTGTTCATTTACACTTCTCAATGATATTTTGATCAACAATTTCTTTCCCGGATTCAGTCTTTCAATCCCCTGTAATCTGCAACACACTGTTCTTTGGCACTGTATCAGTAAGCCCCTATAAGTTGGCCACTAACACTTCTCTTTCCTCACCTTGGCTGCTGTGGTAACAGCATACGTCTGAATATCCATCAGATTTACTAAAGCTTCTTACAGGCAGGCTGAAATGAAACTGGCATTGTCTGGAATGTAACTAATTAGGAATGCAAATACATCCTTACTCAAAAAATGAATGCCAGGGTTTCCTCAGCACTCTCTCTGTGCTGGCAGTCAGTGTCTCTAAGGGATGGTGGAGTAGCAGGCTATCATTTCACCAAACCTCAAAAAACCCCTCTCATGACAGTGTCTGAATAATGGTATTCATTAAGTAAAAAGCTGCACATGTCCTTTTTAATGATTTTTTTTTCCTTCTTTTTTTTTTTTTTTTTTTGATCTCCTTGGCTTTTATCAAGACTCTGCAACTGCTAGGCTGTTGAATGCATTCAAATACTGTTGAATACACTTCAAGCCACACTGATTTCCACGGCAAACACGTGCATTGTTTAGGATAATGGGAGGTTCAGTACAAGTGGTCCCACTGGTCATAACTTCTTCAATTCAGAGGAGGAGGAAGAGGATCTACTCTTTGCTACCTACAGCTTCAGGTACAGCCATTAAGGTAATTTCTGACAATCTGTCAATTCGGCATTACCAATTCTGGTAATTTCTATCTTCTACTTTCCTTGCCAGATTGCACTTGCAAAGATGGCACTGATAGAAATCATCATATTAATACTGTCCATTTAGGTGTTGTGCAATGACTTGTAATGCTACAGATGCACTATCACCTTACATATTATGCGTACACACTGCACTTACCGTGTGTTATACAGATGTGCAGACTCTTCAGATGAAAGTATTTTCCCCTCATGTTTCAGAAGGAAGTACAGCAGATACAATATCCTTTTCTGAGTGGCTGTCCACATACATACACACATCACAGAGGACTGTAAGAACAGACACTCCTGAGTTTCCTGCAGAGCGGTGTCTGTGTCTTCATAGAGACTGACTGAAGCTTTGTTACACTCCTCAGTGCATTTCCCAAAAATGAAAAACTCCACAGAGGAGTAGTCAGTCACAGTATCTGAAGTTCAAGTCCAAGAAGACTGGACATATAGAGGACTAAGATCTCACTGAAGAACAGCTAGAAACAACTTTGCAATCTTAAAAAAACAAGAGTCCCTGAGTCACTAAGGGAAGAAAGGATGAGCAATGCAGGCATTAAATGAAGCCTAACTGATTTAGAACAAAAAAAAATGTCCTAACCAAAACTCTTAGACTATGTTCATTGACTCGGGAATTGACCAGAAGACCTAACAGAATATCACCCTCAATCTGGTTTATTTTGCCAGATAAATCCAACTCACATAAACTCTTCCTGCTGTGGGCAACAATCTTCTACGAAGTAGAGGAACAGAGCCAGGGAGTACGATGCTGTGAAGTGAGGCATCTTGAGCCCGGGACAAGCACAGAGGTCTGTACTAGCAGATTAGGAGGAGCAGAGTCCAGAAAATTTTCATTGACAAAGACTGTCATACCAAAACTGCTTATCTATCCTGCCATTTTTCTTTCCCTCAATAGGACTCACAGAATTAAAGGGGACAGAGGAAAATAATGCAATGACCCTCCTAGTGCACCAGTCATTTGGGATGTTTTCTAGCTTGCCTGATGCTTTCTTCCTTGTGTCTGAGGCACAGAGCTTCACTCTACAGTTATTTCAAGTCCTAGCAGGACCCACCAAGTAACATCTGCGTACTGACAACATGACAACATCATTCACAGCCTAACCACATGAAGTAGCTGAGATCACCTACCAGGATATTTAAAATGTGAAGCAGGCAAACTTTGAATCTGCTCTTGATCTGCTTCCGAAGACGGACTTCTCAGTTACAGAGAAGAGGACAGCATTCAAAACTCCACTAAGATATTGCAACAGCAGTGGCACTTATCACATGAATGTGATTTTCCTGGTAGATACTTGCCTTTCCTGTTTGATCCTGCAAGTATCTGTTGTAAAATACATTTTCCAGAGTTCTACAGAAAAAAAAAAGTTTTATAATTCCCTGATTAACAGAGAAATAACATCCTTTAAAGTATATAGTTGTGAGAACACACCACCAAAAAGGCCTTTTTGTCCAGAAATGTTTTCAGCTTGGACTCCTCTCAGGAGGTACACAGTTTAAAGAAGCAGCAAATGGCGACGTTGCTTTCATCTCTGTTGTAAACACACCTACTGCGGTGGGATCTGTGAGCTGTATCTGACCAAGGCTTGATGGCATGAAAAGTAAGTATCTGGAAGATGCTCTAAGAGCAGAAGCCTACTCAAGAGTAACAGTGACAGGCACAAACAGAACACAAGCAAACACAGAAGATTCCTTGAATACATGTGGTAGAAGCTGACTATAGTTCAAACAGGATTAGGAAACTTCTAAATCTGGTAAGAAACAAAAATATTTTTAAAATGCTGCAGGACTGAAAAATAGCAAAACAGTAATAAACCTTTCTGAAGCAGTTCAAGTGGAATTAGATGGTACTAGTTGCATCCTGCATCATGTAGTTAGGCGCTGAACAAGACAAGGAGGCCAGGCTTCAGTAAGCCCTCCACACAAAGTCATTATCTAATTATCACTATCTAATTTTTTATGCCTGGTTACATGCACGACCACCAGATTAAAAAAAAAAACAAACCCTCAGAAATAATCATTTCAAAACAGAATCATTTAAGACTAACTTGCTGTCAACCAATCAAAAATCACCGTAGGTGAAGTGAAACAACAGCAAACCATACAACAGCGTTTCAGGATCTCTCTTCAGTATATAAACAATTTCATAATTAAGAACCACAATAAGGATGAGACATTTTAAAGATTTTGAACGTCTGAATTCCTACTGAAACTGTGTAACTTATACACTGCAATATGTTAAGACTCACTAATATTTTCCATATTAGAATCACAGAATGGCTTGAGTTGAAAGGGACCTTTAAAGGTCATCTAGTCCAACCCCCCTGCCATACGCAGTGACACCTTCAACTAGATCAGGTTGTGCAGAGCCTCATGCAGTCTGGCCTTGAGTGTTTGCAGGGATGGGGCAGCTGCAGACTCTCTGGGCAACCTGTGCCAGCGTTTCACCACGCTCATCATAAAAAATTTCTTCCTTACATCTAAGCTGAATCTACCCTCTTTCAGTTTAAAGCCATTACCCCTTGTCCTATTGCAACAGGCCCTGCTAAAAAGTTCATCCCCATCTTTCTTACATGCCCCCTTTAAGCCCTGGGAGGCTGCTCGAAGGTCTCCCCGGAGCCTTCTCTTCTCCAGGCTGAACTCCCCAACTCTCTCAGCCCGGCCTCCCAGAGGAGCTGCTCCAGCCCCACTGATCATTCTGCTGGCCTCCTCTGGACCTGCTACAATAGGTCCATGTCTTTCCTGTACTGAAGGCTCCAGAGCTGAACACAGTACTCCAGCTGGGGTCTTACTAGAGGGAAGTAGAGGGGCAGAATTGCCTCCCTCGAAGAGCTGGCTATGCTAGCCTATAATATGTTTCCATATTTTAAAGGAAAGAAGAGTCTGTTTCTTCTCAACTCAAAAGACAATTCAGAAGACAACCTTCCTTTACAAAACATATCTACATTTTTATTATATTTACTTTTAAATAAAAACAAAATTGCTGAACATGCAGGTATCGCAGCTCAGATGTTATCTTATATCATTTGAAATGTGATTTGTGGACTGAAGGTATTTGGAGGAAATTCTGCATCTGACAAAATTCCATTTCAAATTTCAAAAATAAGCTGTTCTGAAGCATTTTCTTGAGCTTCGGGAAGAACATTAAAATAAGTACATTGATTCTGACTGGGTACAATTGACAGAAATCAGGCTGTTAAGTCTTCTGGAGTGAAGCTCACAAAACTTCAACAAGAGATTATCAGGGTCACCTAAATATATTCTCCATTCCTACATTCCACTGAATAAGCTTAAGGTTAAAGAGGTACAATCAGATTTCGGTTTGCAGACGTAAGTTGAGCATTAATAAAGTGAATGAAGGTCTTTATCAGTGAAACATAAATAAGTATTTTTAAAGAATAAAACACATTGTTATGGAACATCCTGATCTGGGACTTAATGCAATTCTAGCCTTCTTGAGTATTTCATTTTAATGCAAATTTCCCAGATCAGTTCAGTCTGGATATGTTTAGAAGCATTGTTCACATACACAGTTCTAAATTCTCCTGAATATGCCCTGATGTTCTGAACTGTCTTAGAAATTAATATTAAATGAACAAATAAAAAACTTACCCGAATCATCATGACTGAGCATCTGATGTTATGAATTGTATCATACACCTTCTTAGAAATGTCCACAAACTGGTTATCATCAAACAGATGCACTGTGTTCTTGGTTAAGCCCTCCAATGCAATATTTACTTGACTGATAAACTCTGGAATCACTATTTAAAGAAGAAAACACAAACAAAATGCAGTGAGCATAAAAAGGATAAAACGTGATTTTTCTTTCTGGCAAATTGCCTCACATTGATTAAAACTTTATTTGAAAAACACATTATAGTAATAACATGATAAGTTTTAAGTGGGAACACATTTGTAATTTTTATCACAGTGATAAAAATGCACTTGATGTGCACGTAAGCTGTGGATGGTTATACAGTACAACAAAGAAGAAAGCTTTAAAAAGGAAGGTGGGGGGGGGAGGGAAGGGAGCAGGGAAGCAGCTGTGAAAAACATACCAGTGATTTCAATAAGAATTTTACCCAAAGAATCAGGATGAATAACCTGGATCGAAGTTGGAACTACTATTCAACAGACTCCTACTATTTCAGAATCTGCTTTCAGTGTGATTGGAGACAAAACTACCAAAAGATTGATGCTTATTCTCCAAATTTAAAAGTCCCACAGTTGTAACCTGGACTTGCCAAAGCAGTTTACTTTGTTTGATTCAATCAAACAAATTGTAAATTTTGAGTCAGTTTGATATTAACCTGCCCTTTACCCAGAATGTCCTGGGAATTTTCTCCTGGTGCTCCATCGTCTTATTCTGCATGGTGACCTGGTAGCACTATGTCTCCCTTGATCCTTCACATTAAATTGAAGCAAAGGAAACCCAACACACAGAATGTAGAGTGAAGAGAGAATGCAGCTGGAAAATCCATCACGCGCAGAATGACCTCAAACAAGTACAGATCAGACTCATTTGCAACAACTCATTTCCTGTCACTTGGAGACTGAACACACAGAAGAAATGGAAAGTAAAGAGACAGAACTCAACTTCTGTAATATTCAATCTGAACAACATATACTTTGCGGAACAGAAGCTTTTTTTCAGGCAATGTGTTGCTTTCAAATACAAGTATTGCTTTCCAGCCCTTCCTCCACAATTACATGCTGTATAAATCACAAATTCATACCACATTAAAGCAACAACACCAATGCCTTAAGTAACCATCATTTCAGGCAAATTTTTAAGTTTATAATTAATTTTTATGCAAAGATTCAGCTGAAGTCAACAGGACTTTTGAATTAAAAAACCTGGCTACATATACTTTAAATATTAGGAAAGATGCCACAATAATGCTTTAACCCCTAACTTCACACTGAGAAACCCACAGAAACCTTGGAGACATTTAAATTCATTCTTAAATTACCATAAGTTCAAGCTCAGCTATTTCTATCTAGAGTGCAGAACAGTTACTTCACGTGTTAGTTCTCAGAAATAACAAACTTCAATTAATACAGTGGTAGTGGGAAGGTTCATCTTCTTCTGTAAAATAGGTATCCACAAGTGTGAGACAAGTAGATGCCATTTAATTTGAAAAATAGGATATTTAAAATCTTGTCTTCTTTTTTCCGGCTATCACCTGAATTACCTTGCCTTCTGAAAAGGTCAGTGGGAAAAACAGATTTCTTAAATGATATGGAAAAAAGACAAGGTACATTTTTCATTAACAACTAAATGGAATAATTAGGGAGAGCGAGTGCCTATTTAGTGCTTTTTGAAGTGTTTTAGGTATTTTAAAGAAACACAAATATACGAATTCAGCACATTAAATCTTTTTCTTCTGTTAAACAACGATCTTGGCCCACAGACTATCAAACTAATTGTAAGCGTGGCAATTTTGAACTAAACAGTCACCTCACACATTTACATAAAATTAAATGTTCAGCACTTCACATCCGTTGTAAAAATGCTGCAAAGGAGAACATAAGAAGCTTCCAGGAATTCAAGATGTCCATGGGTATAGTCAAAACCATCAGGTGTTTTCCAGAGCCTCCTGCAGACTCACTTCTCAGTTCATTGTACTTTATACACTTCCACTTTGCAATTTCTGTGGCTGCTAAGCCCCTGCAGGCCTCCTCTTCTACAGTACAGGCCATTTCTTTATTCAGGCTCCATCCTGCACTCCACACCTTTATTCCATATGATTATTAATGGCCTTTTTACAGTTCCTTCCAAGGCCAAACTCATTATCACAGTGTACTTGTTTGTCCAAATGAATATATCACTTCTGAAAAAGGATTTTATTCAAGCATGTACTCCACTCCTCATACGCTACTGGTGGAGTCAGTGCTGAACCACAGGCTGCACACCTGATTATAGGAACACAATCTCAGTGGTTTCCCTCTAATAACATTTTTAAGACAGTTGCTTTTCATCAGTATCATTTTTACACATAGACAATTAAAACACAAGACTAAACTGTAATTCTAGAATATGTACATAATCTGCTAATGAAGTATAAAAATACACTTGGGCTATTGTAAGGTTGTCAAATAGTTCTTATTATTTGGTCATTTACCCTGTATATGACTGGATACTTCTCTCAAATCCAAGACTCCTTTCTTGACTGCACGTGGTTTATTTGAGTTCCCAACCAAATAATTACTTAAAATTAGGTTTTGGTCGCTATATGAGTTCTTACCCATGTATCACTGGCATCAAAAATACTTTACTTCACACACGCTCAAATGGTTCAGGCATCACTCTGAAACACTGCATTAAGTGGACTAGAATGATGTTAATAGTGTGCATCTTTGCTCTATTCTGCTTTATTTTTCTAGGCAGCCTTAAATATAGAGGAGAAGTGGATGCAAGTTAAAACAGGTTGGGTAAGATTTATTTTTTCAAACTTTCAAAAGCAAAGAAAAATTAAACAACCTCTAAGTAAAATGCAAAATTTGAAGTGTTATAAAATTGAAAAGTATTATTATATTTTTGTGATTTTAATAATAAAACATATTCCCCCCCCAATTAAAATTTTGAGCAGATTTCAACACGAACATCTGTGATCCTGCCTTTCCTGAAGGGGATGGTGTGGAAAGGAGAAGGATGTTTTGGAAAATACCAATATTGCTCATAATTGTAGTGTTGAAAGCCCCAAAATAATTTACAGATTTCACACCACCAAAACCAGATTCTGCACTCTTAAAATTAAAAGTGCACTTGACAACAATCCTTGGAAAAGACTTAGTTCAGAGAAGAAAAGCTGTCATCTGTTGATACTCAAGGTTAAGAAATTGATCTCAGAGCATCCACAAATCCTGCAAAACAGTCTTCAGAACATCACTGTGTATCTCCCCATTTCTGTATATCAGCCTGAAGGAACCTAGGTTGCCTACAAGACCAGGAGAGCTCCCTGGATCTAACGTAGTAATATGCGAATCCAAAACTCTCAATCCGGATTGCTAGCCTCAAGCATAAGCAATCATTATGAGCAGTATTTTTATGAAAATCTTCAGTGCTGCACTGAAAACAAACCCCAGAATTCTGCACTGTTAGTGCTTTCAGGGCAATTTTAAACCAGACACTTCCAGAGTTACTCCAGAATAACATTTAAAGGTAAATTTAGCTGCCAAAGCTCTAAGAAGGAGCTGTAATCATAAGCAACATGAAAGGCAGTAAGACTTTCATTGCTGGCAAGAACAAACCACATCAACAAGATGACTCTAAGCCTTCTGAAGATGAAGAGTAGAGAGATGAAGGACTTCTTTATTTAACCAAAAAATTAGATGGAGACTGAGTGGCTTGTAACATGAGAAGTCTGTGATGTAGTGGAAGTAAAAGAGTGCTAAAGGCTATCTGCCTTAACAGCCTTCAGGACAATCAAAAGTTGGTGAAGCCATGGCAACTGGTTAATGTCACAGTTAGGGTTTTCCTAAGAATGCAAGTATAGCAATGAAGTAGAGTATATGTAGTCCAACTCACAAGATCTAGTAAGTCCGCTGTTGACATTTAAATACACGGGTAGATTTCTACCTTCTTGTTCTACGAAGGCAGTAGAGTCTAGACTTACAGACGGATCCCAAATACGTGTTTTATATGTTAACTTTCCCGATGCACATGCCATATCTCTGCAAGCACTGTGTCACTGTGTCAGGAGAAAAGAAGGCTGAGGGGTGACCTTATCACTCTCTACAACTACTTGAAAGGAGGTTATAAGAAGGTGGGTGTCAGTCTCTTCTCCCAAGTAGCAAGTGATAGGACAGGAAGAAACAGGCTCAAGTTGCACCACGGGAGGTTTAGATTGGATATTAGGAAAAATTTCTTCACCAAAAGGGTTGTCAAGCACTGGAACAGGCTGCACAGGTAAGTGATTGAGCCACCATTCCTGGAGGTATTGAAAAGACATGTAGATGTGACACTTATGGACATGTTTAGGGGCGGACTTGGCAGTGTTAAGTTTACAGTTGGACTTGATGATCTTAAGGGTCTTTTCCAACTTAAACAAGCCTATGATTCTATACGTATATTACCTTGAAAAAGAGGTAAAAAATTGAAGAAACGACAGTGGAAGTTGTCCACAGAAGTCTCCAACTCTCCTACTTCAAAAATGAGCTCAAAATCATTCTAGGCACCAGGAGCTCAATGAGAACTTACAAAAGTCAGAACCAGTGATCTTGTATCTTATGTTACGGAGGAAATTACCCCTTGCAGATGTAGTTAATCTCAAGGTATGGATACGAAATATGTTGCTTGAAGTGATTTTCTTTTCTCTTCTGAATGTCAAGGACCTAAAAGGTCCAACCAACTCTGGAAAGCCTTTTCAGGTAGCAAGGTAAAAAATTACCTCATTTTCAGTAAGTATTCACATTCTGTCTATTAGAGTTGACTGGCATTTAAAGGAGAAAAAATAATTCTGTTGACATTTTTGGTGTGCTTTATATCTCCTGACCAGTGCTACTGCTCAATTAAATTTGCATTGCTGTGTAACATCTGTATTTATCACAACACAGGTAAAACAAAAAGGACACGACTCATATGAATACGAGATGACATTCAAAACACTGCAATAACACACTGCACATGTACAAAATGAATCAGAACCCAAAGAATCACAGGACTTAGTGCCATTTGTTTTCAATAATTATGCATAGAAATTATTTTTTAAATGTCTCCGCCACATTCGCTTCTAAAACCAGAGCATTTATCTACTCT